CTGTCTACATGAATTTGAAACATTTCCATTCTTTCTATATACTCAAACAGAAGACAGTTGTCTTCTTGAAGAGAAGCAACAATCTCGAAAAGGTGTGAGAAAATTTCTCTACTTTTAAAAAACAGACTTTTTATACAAGGATGGTCCATTCTAAAATTCCTTTTTGTCTCCTCCAATTCCGCGATAAATATTTCTTCTAAATTTGTTTCAGCTTCTTCTGCGTTATCACTTCCACTTGCGCCTTCAAATCTATCACTTGTTTTTCTCGTGTTCTTTGTTGCTTTTTTCATACCAAAACCAACACAATTATTATGTATGACAATTCTTTTATTTTCAAATTCTTCACACAATTCATCAAAAACGTGATTATTGACATAGTCAGCAACATCTTCATAATTGTTACAAATGTCGTTCATGTTCTTACTAATCCAAAGCCATCTTGTATAAGAGTAAGTCGAACTGATCGTGTGTCCCGCACCACAATTTTTATTGTACTCATTAAGGCGTGATTTTTTTACAAAACCATTTACAAAAGACTTTCATCATCATTATTTCCACCTCCTTTTCGTATCCTTCTGCACATAGCGCAACACGATGTGCACTACACCAAAAGTGCTTTAGAGGACCATCTATTATTACTCTGCCTAATGGTTCATTGCACTCAATTAGTCTATTCATCAATATTGGAACACTTTCCTTTGAACCCGCCCAAGACGCGATACCATCTGTTGTTATATTCACTACACGACAACACAGAACACCAAGTTTATATAGTTTATGTACTAACCACACAGCAAGAGTATCTGCTGTTGTTTCTCCTTTGTATTGACGAAGTAAAAGAGATAATCCGACACATTTCCTTCCACGAACTACTCGCATCATCACACAAAACATTTCAATGTCATCTTTAGTAGTTGAGTCAACAGATATCGCAACACATTCATGTTCAAGCTTTTGAGCTTCACTGTTTTTTCTTTCTTTTTCGTTTGCATCAATTATCTGATTTACTGTTGTTTTTTTGACTTATAGCAAGTGTCTTCGCACGGTACAATGCATTTCTACTGAGCCCAGCAAAACTTATTTCAATGCAAAGTTTAATGGCTTTTTTATCTGATGCTCTCATTGCCACTCTGTTTGTAATTTCATTAATGATGTAATCGACTATTTTTCTTTGTTTAAAAAATAGTGGTCTCACTTCTCTTTTGTTCAAGTTTTTAAACTCACCAGAAAACATGGAATCAAATGCTACTATAAAATGATTGAGAGAAAACTCTCTTTTCTTTTTCTTGTTTTCTATATAAGAAAAGCGTCTAATAGTCTCGGAAAGTTCATCAATATCCACTTCTTTCATTCCAATTGTTTTGATTATTTCAAACGTGTGATTTTCGAACTCAATAAATTCCTTTCTTATTTTTTCAACTTTTTCTTTTTGAACTCCATTAACCCTTCGAGGACGGGAAAAATCAAAATTTGTAAAAAAATAAAAATCTTAATCAATTGTAATGTTAATGTGACTTTTTTTCTTTAATTTTTTCAAAAAAAGCTAGACACCCTGGAACGACGGCTCTAGTATATTTTTATGGTAAATTGTTATAAATTATAGTAAAAAAGTGAATTTTTTGTTGAAGTTGGGATGAACAAAGGTTCACTTTTTTGCTTGATCCTTCTAGAAACAAGTCACAGTTCAATGGAAAAGTCAGATCAAACATTTATTGAGATGTCCACAACTAATTACGATAATAAAATTAATTATAAAATATAACAAAGACCAAATTGCATCATAAAACATACTGGTCAGGAATATTCAAAATTAATTGCATCATAAAATAACAAAGAAAAAATAATAAAGCATAGAGTTTGAGGTGTCTTGAAATTTCATTATGCAATTGATCTCAAAAACAATAACAAGGGAAATTAAATAGATTTTTTTGTAAACTTTGAAAAATACAACAATTAAAAAAATTAGGTTTTGCTATTTTTTGTAAAAGAAATAAGATAAAACGAAAAGACACTTTTGTTTGTTCCGACTTTGAAAAAAAAAATCTTAAAGAAAATAAGTGTAAAATAAACAAAAAATATCTAAAATACATTTTCAAAAGCATCAAAAATCGCAAAATCGAGAAAAATTTATAAAATTAACTTTAACAATAAAAATAGTCGCGTTTAAATAAACTTTGATCACCACGAGGTTTTGTGATCACCAGTTGAGTTTCACGTCGTGCCACTGTCAAGGAAGCAAGATATGAATTCATTATTTGTAATTGGTATATTTTATCATTTTCAAACAAAAACAAAGGGCAAATTTGATTTGATATTATCATTTTCATATAAATGTTATTGTATATGGTAATCAAATGCTTATTTTGCAGCCACTGTTTATGCATTTTTAAATTATGCATTTTTGGGCAACAAACAAAAAACTTATATAAATGTTTAGAAATAATGAAAAACTAAGAAAAACACAAGTGTAAAGACATCTTGATATATACCAAAGTTGACACTTTAAACTATATTTTAAAATAAAAAAAATCAATAATCTATTAATAATTTATCATGTTATTTATAATAGTTTTATAATTATAATTGTTATATATAATAGTTACTATCAACAGACATAATTTTGACACAATAACACATCAACAAATATATTTGTACTACAATGTGATTTCATCGAAGTGATTAGGAATCACATTGATATAACAATGTTGTGTAATTAAAACTAAATTGTATTTCATGTATAATTATAACAAAAATGGTATAATCACCCCTTTTTATAATATTATCATTATAGAAGATACATAGTGTTTGTGCTAAAGCGCGGTTTGACTAAAATACACAGTTTGAATTAAAACAAAACATATAAGCATTTAATTTATATAAACAGAAACACACTGGTTTAGTGAATGATCAATAAAATGTTTATATGTGATATAATTGATGTAGTTGTTATATAGATAACAATTTAAATTATTTGGGTGTTAAAATTGATTACAAACTATATTTATAATATTATTTTACCATTAATAATATAGAGTCTAAAATAATAATATAATAATAAAAAAATAATAATTTATTTTTTTAAATAACAATAATGTCAAAATAATGTTATTTAAACACATCAAAAACAAAAATATGATAAAAATTATTGTTTTAAAAGGTATAATTTTGAAGAATATTTTAAATTAACGACTATCTGTTATTCCACGACAATGGATCAATAAAAAAAACAGACAAACAATTGTTACTTATTATACTATTAACAGTTATAGTTAAAAATATTAAATAATTTATGATGTATCGTTTATTCGATTGATTTTGTAACGAATTGTGTTTTGTGTTTTTAAATAAAAGTTTTCGTTCAAAATTTTAAAAATAAATACAGAATATTTACCCCGTTTTGTTCAATTGTTTTAATAATGCAAGACATTTATAGTTATTTTTAATTAATGAATACTATTTTAACAAATTAAATGCAAAGAACATTTTTGCGATTTATTTGTAGATTGCCAAACAATAAAATGGTTTAAATTATTTAAAAGTACTAATTAAATCTTACATAAAACAACGTCACTTGCTACAAACAAAAAAGTTTGTGATAAAACAAAGAAAATACTTGATATAAATTTGAATTAACACGATAATTGAGTTGTTATTTCAAGATTTGTTATGGATAGATTTAAAGTTTCAAGTTGCACTATTTTAAACAACAATGTGCAAAACCAATTTGTAATCAAAAATTATCATTTTTTAATCCTTATATCCCGAAAAAACATTTGAAGTTCGAATAAATATCGTAAATCAACAATAAATAATTGTGTGAAATAACACACAAATTTCTTATTATATTTGGAATAAAAATTCAAAAATAAAATAATTACTTATTACTATAAATAACTTTGCCACCTTGCATTTGATTTGACTAAAAAATGCAAAAATCCGCCTCACCATCAGAATTCGAAAAATAAAACAAACTATTAAACGGTGAAGTCATCACCATTGGAAACGAGAGATTCAGATGTCCAGAAGCACGCCACTAGCCATCA